CACTCTCCCCACCTCCTCTTGACTTCGGCTGGCTTCCTCAGGATGACACCATCGCTGCCTTTCACACTTTTCACCACCCTGATGTCTTGGGTAGCGGGCCTTAGCCAGCCTGAAGACGAACTTCTCTGCGTTTCTGCTTTCCAACTTCTCGTACAAGGCGTCCATTTCCGTGTTCTTCGCCTTGGCGACGCAGCCTTAGCGAGCCTCTTGCAACTCTTGTAGGTAGCGAGGTCTTCGGGGCTCCGGGTCTTCTGCCAGCGCTTGTATGCTTCCTTCTTCTGCTTCACGACTCGCTGGACCTCCTCGTTCCAGAACCACGCTGCCTTGTCTCCTCTGAATCCACCTCGCGTCTCGCCCAGTACCTCCTTGGCACATCGCAGGATGGTCTCAGCCGCGTTGCCCCAAGTCCGCTGTATTGGCCCGTTAGGATCTGGGAGACCGACTTCCATTATCTTTCGCCTTGAGGTCATCCTTCTCCGCTTGGTGCAGCTTCCACCACCGGATTCTCCTCTCGGTTCTTACCCTTGTCTTCTTGGGGAGGTCTATGCAATGTCTGCCAGGAGGGGCCTGTGCTGGGGAGCCAGATCTTCGCCGGGTAGAACTTTGATATCCTTCACAGTTTTGAGGGATGATCTTCTTACCAGCACATGGTCGATTTCCGTCTGTCTCCCTCCACTGCTGTAGGTTACCTTTTGAGTCTCCCTTTTCGCGAAGAACGTGCTGCAGATTGCCAGATCGTGGGCTGTAGCCAGGTCCAGAACCCTCTCTCCCTCAGCGTTCCTCGTTCCTATCCCTCTACCTCCGTGCACCCTTTCCAGGCCTCTTCTGTCACTGCCGACGTGACCATTCAGATCACCTGCTATGGTCAGGTAATCGCCTTCCGGAACCGATCTTATGGCTTCGTCCAGGCTCAGATAGAACTCGTCCTTATCACTTTCGGGGCACCCGGCTTGCGGTGCGTACACGGAGAGTATTGTCCAGTACCCCTCCTTCGTGTCTATCCTCACAGCCATGATCCGATCGCTGATCCTGTTCACAGCGGAGACATAGTCCTTGAGCGACTCCGCTACCGCTATGGCCACACCGTTCCGCTTGGTGTCTTCTCCATTGTAGTAGAGTTGACACCTTCCCCGATTTCCCTGGCCTTAGCACCTTTCCATCGCGTCTCCTGAAGGCATAGGACTTGGATATTCCTGCGCGTCATCAGATCAGCAACCTCTCGGGACTTCCCAGTTAGCGATCCTACGTTCAGAGTCCCAATTCGAACTAGCTTCTTTGGCCGAGGCCGTTCACTCCTCGGTAGCCCTCGCATACTGACCACAGAACTCGGGCGGGGGTTCTGCGCGCCACTTCCGGGTGACGTCCTAGCTTTATCACTGATTCTTTTCGACTTTAGACATGTTTGGTGTGACTGGGGTCTTCATCAGCCGGCCTGTCAACCTGGGCCTGACGCTGGTACTAGAACCATTTTTGCAATTTTTGCAAGGCATGGTTTAGAGCCTCGGCAGGGATCGAACTCGCGGTTTTTCAGAGGTGCAGACATGAGTCTAACCTCTTAACCACTCGGCTATCCCTGCCCAATCGATAGAATGCAACTGCAACCAGCTATTCACTTCATCGGCAGAAAACACATTTTGTGGAGGTCTTCGTCACTTGTGTTGTGTGGGCTGCATTTGGCGAGCATCTGGTTCAAATAGAGTGTATCTTCGAATCCAGTAGCCAGATGCGTCTGCACTGGAGATTTACATTACAAATGAGTACAGTTCTCAAAAGAATCTTATCATCAACTGTTCACAATGACAGCTGATTCTTCATCAATGACAATCAATCGTAATTAGTGACGATTACTAGAAAACAATTGCTATCGCTCAATTATTCTGTTAGGCCAGGGCTGGCGCCATTGTCACAATATTGTTTGTGAAGCATTGCAGACACCTGGAAACAGGATACAAGGGATAGGTTAGCTGACAGGAAGCCTACTGCGTAGCCAGGACTTGGAGAGGCAGAGGAATGGGCGAGTTGGCTACTTCACACAGTCTACCCTGCGTTCTCTTCCACCGCCTCTCTGAATTGCCGCAAGGATAGGTGGAACAGCGCTCACCGTGATCTCTTTGCATCTCCAGCCCCTAGTCGCACGATAGCCTTCCTGTGTCGGGTGCTGTAAAACGGTTCATACACAATAATATACCGCAAACCGGAAAAACACGTTAGTGATCCATTAAATGGAGCGATTATATAAAATGGAAACAGTACACGTTTTCGCTGGTCGAAGCAAGCATCTGATAGAGCGTGGCGGTCATTGCGATAAGGAACACTATAAAAGCTAAACGATAAGGTACAGGTCATTTTTCTCTTCCGAGTGATGATGGTGTTCTTCG